AAATATTAATTTGAGGAGAATTGACACCTACATGATATTGAATTTTTCTAATCATGTATTAGATATTATCTTAGTCATCTAGTGCTGCTATAACAGAAATACCACAAGTGGATGGCTTTAACAAAGAGAAATTTATTTCTTCACAGTAAAGTAGGCTAAAAGTCTGAATTCAGGGCGTCAGCTCCAGGGGAAGACTTTCTCCCTCTGTCGGCCTTCTCGTCAATATTCCCCTGGACTAGGAGCTTCTCTGCGCAGGGACCCGGGGTCCAAAGGACACACCCTGCTCCTGGCACTGCTTTCTTGGTGATATGAGGTCCCCCTGTCTCTCTGCTCACTTCTCTCTTTTATATCTCAAGAGATTGCCTCAGGACAAAATCCAATCTTGTAGACTGAGTCCTGCTTTACTAACACAACTGCCACCCATCCTCCCTCCTTAACATCATAGAGGCAGGATTTACAACATATAGGAAAATCACACAATACCAGGAATTGTAGCCCAGCCAAATTGATACATTTTGGGGGGACATAATTCAATCCATGACATTCCACCCTTTGCCCCCCCCCCCAAAAATCACATCCTTGCAATATGGAAAACATATTCAGCCCATCATATCATAGCAAAAGTCTTAACTCCAAGTCCAAAATCCAAAAATTCCTTTTCGTCTGTGAAATCTAGAATACAAGTTATCTGCTTCCAAAGATACAATGGCAGAACAGACACAAGCTAGACATTTCCATTACAAATGGGAGAAATTGCAGAGAAAGAAGGGATAACAGACACCAAGCAAGTCAGCAGAACACATTACATTAGCCTTCAAGGCTTTGAAAATAATCCTCTGGTCTCTGAGACAATTTACACAATGGCCCTGCCCTCCAGACTCTAGGTATTGCCCACACTCTCCAGATTCTTAGTGGAGACTCCTCAGCCCTGGGCTTCAGCTCCGCCTTCCAGCCCCACTGGGACAACAACTCTGCTCCCTCGGCTTTAGGCACACCATTCTCCTAGTCCATCTGAGTGACAACTCCACCCTTAGAAACACCAGAGGCCATGGCTCCACCTTTAGAAACCCCTGAGGTCATGGCCATACCTTTTGAGACTGAGGCAGCTTAGCTTCTTGTGTCCCTTGTCTCTTCAGCTTATGCTTCTGCTTCTGTTTCCTGTGGCCTGTTGGCCCTTGGGCCTCAGGCCTGCATCTGCCCTGCTGGGGCAAGTGTTCCAAAGCTCTGTAGTTCCACCGGTAAGTGCCCAGAGGCACCCCACTCTGCCAGGAAGCCTCCTGAGCACAGGCACTCAGCTCTCTCCCTCTGTGCGTTGGCTCCAGCACCGGCTTGCACTGGTCTCCTGGTTCTGCTGCTGTTGGTTCTCTGCCACTGTCGCTTCTCTGCTGCTGCAGGTTCTCTGCTGCTGCTGGTCGTTTGCTTCTGCCACTGATCTATCCATTCACAGTTTCAAAACTTCTTCCACATTTTAGGTATGTTAGAGCAGCACCCTACTCTCTCGGTACCAAATTCTGTTAATCATCTAGTGCTGCTATAACAGAAATACCACAAGTGGATGGCTTTAACAAAGAAAAATTTATTTCTTCACAGTAAAGTAGGCTAAAAGTCTGAATTCAGGGTGTCAGCTCCAGGGGAAGGCTTTCTGTCTTTGTCGGCCTTTTCATCAGTGTTCCGCTGGACTAGGAGCTTCTCTGCATGGGGACCCTGGGTCCAAAGGACACACTCTGCTCCTGGCACTGCTTTCTTGGTGGTATGAAGTCCTCCTGACTCTCTGCTCACTTCTCTCTTTTATATCTCAAGAGATTGCCTCAGGACACAATCCAATCTTGTAGATTAAGTCCTGCCTTACTAACACAACTGCCACCCATCCTCCCTCATTAACATCATAGAGGCAGGATTTATAACATACAGGAAAATCACACAATACCAGGAATCATGGCCCAGCCAAACTGTTACACACATTTTTGGAGGGACATAGTTCAATCCATGACAAATATGGTATAGCTCTCCCTTTATTTGTATCTTGCAATACAATTATATATTATACAATTATATAATTTTATCCAGTAATATCATGCATATCTTTTGAAATATTTAGTGTTTTTGTTGTCACTACCATTTAAAATATTTTTAATTGATTGTTATTTATATACATCAACCCTGTTGATTTTTGTGTATTCAGTTTTTATTCAGTAAACTTACTGAATACTGTTATTAATTCCAATGATTCTCTGACATTTTCTGTCACAGTTATATTGTGTACAAATATTTGTTTCCCCCTTTCCAATGCTTACACCTCTTATTACTTCTTTTTTTATTTCATTAATTAAAATTCTAGTAGTTATTTTGGAAGCAGTAATAGTGAACATTCTTATCTGGTTTCTACCTTTAATTGTGATGCTTTAACTTTTCAATTTAAAATATGTCATTTGCTGTAAGTTTTGGTAGACAGTATTTATCATATTAAGAAAGTTCAATTTTCTTACTAGTTTGCTTAGCATGTTTATCCAAATAAATATTGAATTTGTATACTTTTCTACATATTTTGAAATGGTTATAAGCTTATTCCTCCCTTAATCTGTGGTAAATTACATTAATACATTTTTCTGTTATTAAACTATCCTGACATTTATTTGAGCATCCTTCTTAGTCATGACTTTTTTCTTATACAGTGCGCGATTGCATTTGATAATATTTTATCTTGCATTTTAGCATCTATATTTTTAAATCAGAACAGTCTGTAACTTCACTTTCTTATCCAGCCTGAGTATCAACGTTACAGCAATCTCATAAATATACCAGAACTTTCTCTTTTTCTTCTGTGGAACTGGTTGTTTCTGGGACTGATTATATCTGGAATTCAGTCCAGCCTATTTTATAGGTGATTGGAAAGCCATAGTGAATATCTCGTTCTCGTTCCCTAGATTTGGACACATGTATCTTTCTATCTGTAACTTTTTTTTTTTTTTTTTGCACTTTCCATCTTATAAAATCACCATCATTAAGATGAACATAGAAAATCCAGAAGTATAGCTAGGTACTATTTCACACTCCATTTTATTTAGTAAAATACTTAAGGAATCAAGTGCACAAAAAAAACATCTTAAGAGGAAGGAAAAAAATGAAAATCCTACATTTTTATTACAATCCAGGATTTGAAAAGTAGAACACCATCACAAGCTATATGGGGGGGTGGGGGGGACAACAACCATGCAATATGTTTCATGTGTAAAAACCCTTACAGGAAAAGACTAAGTAACATAGCTGAAGATTAGACAATCTTCAAGTTTCTACAGCTGTTAGTGCTGCCTGATCTAAGTCATTTTTTTTAAGGATTGTGGAAAAAATATGTTTTCCACATTAACATTGGAATTTGACAGGCAGGTTGCTATCTTTTAGTAATCACTGCAATAAGAGTAGTGGAGGCAGCAGGTGGCAGCAGCTCCCACTCAAAAAGCTGTGGGACTTAAAGCAAGCCGTGTTAGCCGCCCTTGCAAGCTAATCTCTCTGTAAAGTTCTTTTATACATGGAAAGAAAGATGATATAATGCATAAACATCACAAACTTTGACAAAACAAACAGTACTATTTTGTGTCTTCTTTCAGTAGAGAATGAATAACAAACCTATGAAACAGGCAGATATGATCTTCAGATTTCTTCTTTTTTGTTTAAAACACCCAGTGCCGGCATGCTTTCTAGGGCCCTTGCCCTGTCCCCCTCTTCTATCTTTATGTATTATTTTAGGTCTCACTCAAGCTTATCCTTCTCAAGGAGGCTGGACATACTTTTAGACTTGTTATTACCTTTTATTAAATAAGAGTAAGTAATAATAACAATATTAATAACATAATAATAATAATAATGAATCAAAAAAAAACAAAAACCCTGTTGAGTCAATTCCAACTCTTAGCAACCCTATAGGACAGAGTAGAACTGCCCCATAGGGTTTCCAAGAAGCGCCTGGTGGATTCAGACTCCTGATCTTTGGTTAGCAGCCTGAACTCTTAACCACTATACCACCAGGGCTCCATAATAATAGTAGTGACCATTTATTGAACATTTACTATGTGCCAGGCCCTCTTCCAAAAGTTTTACATATTTATCTTGCATAATCCACACAAACTGAAGCACAGAGAGGTTAAGTAACTTGCCTAAGATCACGCAATTAATAAGTGGCAGGGACCAGAAGAACAACACAGCCTGTCTGATCTTGGACCTGTATTTATCACCATTACTCAAGGATGAGTTAATCAGGTAGACCAATCCCTGTCAGTATATCAGCTAGCAAATATTTTAATTCCTTTGGGAAAAAGACTGCTTCGAGCTATTTAAAGTGCACCTACTTCCAAAATTCCCTTGAGAGGTATAACCACAGGTGAGAATTTGAGCCCACTGACAGTTCAGTATGGAAGAGATATTGGGATGGACAGAACAAGGAGACACATCTCAACTTCTTCACTTATTATCTGTGGACACTTGACAAGTTACTTTGCCACCCAGAGCTTGACTTTCCTCATGTGTTAAATGGTGACACTAATATTTACTGACTGTCATGCTGACTATGAATTTCCCTTGGGTAAGATGAGTCTGGAAGAATGAGTTAGAGAGGAACAAAGGGCAGTATATTAGGAAAGAACATTAAGTTATCAATCTCTGTATCTCCCTCAGTGAGTATCTCAGCTGGTAAGTGCATAATAAATATTTGTTTTTAGCTTGATGAGTAAATAAATAAATTTACAAAATTAAATAGTCAACAAATACTTTACATATGTAAAAATAGTCTTTCCAAATATTTGACATACATTTTAAAGGACTGGGGTGAAGAGATAATATTGATATTCCTGAGACATTTGATTAAATAAAACTAATGAGAGATCTTATTAATTTTTAGCTTAAAGATACTGAGTTTAAATTTGTAACACCACTTTTTGTTCTCTGATATGCTTGCTTGTGTTTGTATTTGTTTAATCATTCATCAAATTAACTGATTTCTCTTCTAGACCCAAAACAGAAGATGCCTGGGTATTTGCAAAGTCTAACGCCATTCAGGCTGTTGGTGTTATGTCATTTGGTAAGTACATGGTTTCAAAAGCCCATTTTCCACATGAAGACATGTGTAACATGAAAAAGTACTGTTTGTGTCTGACTAGCAGATGTCCTAACTTTTAGACTTCCTGTTAGTAGCAGATGATCTAGTTTGTGCCAACATAAAATTAGGCTCCAACTTCTCTCACTCATCACTAAAATTTCTTTTGATTTGGACAAATCTCTTTCTTGTGCAGAAAACTTATTATCGACAGCTTGTTTCTTAACTTGGAAGTCTAGCAAGTGTTACGACTTCTTCAAAACCTTGCACACAGAGTATTGCTAATTGGCCAGATGTCTGAAGCCACCATTCTGTTATATCCAAGATTGCAAAGGAAGCGATGGGCTGAAAATATGGTGGTGTTTAGATTTTCCTCAGGATGGGAAGGGCCACTAGAAAAAGGAAACTGGGAAAGTTGGATAGGCCTGGTTTATATCAAGAATGACATGAAAAGACCACATAAGCCTGATGTGAATACATTTTCTCATTTCTAGAACTGTTAGAAAAAAATGTTTTTCTGACCTGTTACTAGATTACTATATTTGAACTTTAGTTCATTGGCATTCCAAAGTAACATACATCTCTGAACTAATTTTCAGAACTGAAAAAGAAAACCCTGATGCTTGCTTTAATAATGCTGTCTCTCTCTCTCTTTTGTATTGTAGCATTTATTTGCCACCATAATTGCTTCTTAGTTTATGGTTCTTTGGAAGAACCAACAGTAGCTAAGTGGTCTCGTATCATCCATGTGTCTGTCTTGGTTTCTGTATCGATCAGTATGCTATTTGCTACCTGTGGATACTTGACATTTACTGGCTTCACACAAGGTAAAATGAGAGAGTAAATCTTATCATATCATTTGGTGTTCATGTGGATTGGTGCCATCACCAATTTTGGGTATAAGTGTACCCCATGTTGTACGTCAAAGTATCGCTATCTCTTTCACTCATTCTCTTCTGCCCTCCTGTTTCTCTGCTGTATCTGTTTCGTAATTTTCTCCTTCTTTAAGTGGTGGCACAGAGGTTAAGAGTTTGGCTGCTAACCAAAAGTTCGGAAGTTCAAATCCACCAGCCGCTCCTTGGAAACCCTATGGGACAGTTCTACTCTGTCCTACAGGGTCGCTATGAGTCAGAATCAACTGGATGGCAATGAGTTTTGTTTTGTTTTGTTTTGTTTAACTGCTAAACTTATTTCTGTAATTCATACTCTCTCCTCCCATCCTGCACACTTTTACGTCCAAGCACATGAATCTGACTTCCCTCTCTAGTATTCCACTGCAGCTTAACTTTCAAAGGCATCAATGGCCTCTTCATCTTCAAAGCTACTAATTTTCTTCTTGGTTCTGATTATCCTGGACTTATCTGAATCACTCAACACTACTGAACATCCTTTCTTTGCTCCCTTAGAGGAAAAAGCGTTACTCTACCATCATGATTATTCTTTCTCTCTCAATCTATTTTTTTTCTCTCCAAGTGATTCCTCTTTCCAACTCCCCACCCCCAATTTCTAACTCAAGCAAGTCACTTGCTTTTCTTTCCACAAATTCTCTGGAGACTTTCATTGTTTTAAATATAGTCCAGACCTTTTTTTTTTTAAATTATCAGCCTCTTGCCTTGAACACAAAACATCATCTTTCCCACAAAACCAATCCCTTCCTCCCCATCAACTTGCTCACACCAAACTTACATCTCTTTTCTTCTATTTACCCAGGCCCAAAAACTGAGTAGTCATCTCTTCTACCTTCTTTTACCCTTATATTTAATCATCTCTATAGTGTAATAGTTAAGAGTATTCTGACAGCCTGCTAAATACTGTGATTCATACATTTCATAGCTTTTGCAGGTCTTTTATCTCATTTGACCTTCATACAACCCTTTGAAGGTAAGTGGAATAACTAGTTTTACCCCATGCTAAAAACACAAAGAGGTGAAGTAACTTGCCCGAGCTAGCTGGTGACAAATTAGAAAACAAGTCTGATTCCCAGTCTAGTTTTCTTTCCATTCTGTCTTGCTGCCACCCCTATTTTGGTCAACCATGACGCATTAAAAACCGTCTCTTAGCCTCCAGCTCCTCTTAGCTTCATTTTTTGGTGACACTGAGGTGCTCTTGGGAAGATGGCTGCATTATTTTGAATAGAGAGTAATGATTATAAGCAGAGATTTATCAGGAAATGAAGAAAGGTGGTCTCACATATAGTGATTAATATCAGTACAGTGCAGTCAGAAGTATAATACATGCCTGTGCCGTTAGAGTGCAATAACAAGGTGAACTAGAAAATCTTGGTAAGAACTGGGTCTCATACATTGCCATGTATCGTTATTGGTATGTACTTTGCCAAAATAAGTAACATATAGGCTTCAGGGAGTACAGAACCTTGGTTTTTAATGCCTTTTCTGTAAAACATAAACCCTTTTTCTTAGTCACACCTTCCTGGTGTTTTTATCAGTGGCAATTCCTCAGAAATAATTAAATCTTTATATAACAAAGCTGGCAGTTTTTGGTTTTTGGGTTTTTTTTTCCTAGGTGTAATTCCCTAAAATACATTTAGACTCAAGCTAGATTAAGCTGACATTGTTTCTTCAGGCCATTTCACCTTAGGCAGATCTGGTCTTGTTTGTGCAAGTTGCATGCTTCTTTTCTTCCACTTTTCAGTAGATAAACTGCAGCTTATAAAGCAGGGGGAGTTCTAGATTCTCCTTGACATTCACAGTGGGAACTCTAGATTCGTCTTGACATTCCCAGTGACTTTTGAAAATGTGCAGGGCCCATTTCTTAGTGGAGAGGTTAGTGAACAGACAGCTTCAGTCCTTTTTTCTGAGCGTGCTGGAATCTTTTCAATCAACCTTCAAGCAGGTTTCTGCCGCTTGTGCTTTGTTTTTTAATCTCCTTCTGCCCAAAAGGAACACTGGAAAGTAATGTACATTTGCTCTAGTTGATAGGAGAAGGGGAGCCAAGTCACTGAAAGTCAGTCTTGGGAAGGGCCAGGTCATTTAGTGTATTCAGCTTTTTAATGAAAAAAAGTACAGAGGCATTATTGTTTTGTTTTCTTTTAAAACAGAGTAGCAGTGGGTGACTTTGATCCAATATTCTATTTGGTTTAATTGAAAAAAGACCACCAACATTCTAAAATCTAAGCATTCAGGAAATAAACAGGCTCAACTGCTCTTTGTTTTAACATTAGGAAACATTTTTTGTTGACATGACTTCTGTGCCCTCATTACCTGTTGCCGTCTAAATCAGCTCCGACTCATGGCAACCCCCTATGTGTCATAGTAGAACTGTGCTCCGTAGGGTTTTCAATGGTTGATTTTTCAGAAGTAAATTACCAGGCCTTTCTTCTGAGGCAACTCTTGATGAACTCAAACCTCCAAGCTTTCGGTGAGCAGCCAAGTATGTTAACCTTTGCTCCACACAGGGACTCCATAACCTCATTAGATCCTTGTATTTCTTCGCAGTTATCTGAGAAGCGACTGTCTCCAAATAATAACTGGTTCAAAGTAGACACGGTCCGTCATTTAGCTTGGAACTAATTAAATATAATGTTCTTCCTAGGAAATAGCCAGTTTTAAATTAATGTATTTACACTTGAGTTCATCAGATGCCGTGAAAGATCTGAATGTTTGGAATTCCTTGCTGTGGCCCTGGGTTTTTGATTAAACCCTATAGCATGATACACAGGAAATTCAGCTCCCCAGACGTACTGGTCTACTCTTCCTTTCAAGATTGTCCTTGATCTAAGAATAGCATTTCAAAAGGAAATTTATTTATTTTAACAGACTTTTAAAAAAATAATAATAATAATAATAAAGTCACCAGAAACAAAGACCAGAAGCAAGTTTACAAGCTAATACAAAAGAGTTTAGGGAGTTGATTCTGGTGTGAGAAGACAATGGATTAAATATTTTTCAGAAGTTGATGTACATTTGTAACAAACCTAGCAAAACAAATAATAAGAACAAAAAAAAACTATTAGAGATGAATTCATCTTGAAGAGGAGCATGGTTTTAATGTCAGTGAATAACTTTATAGTATTGAATAGAAAAGAACTTAAACATTTAGACCTGGTAATCTAGTCTCTTAGTTAAATGAAATGAAATACAGTTTCACATATAATAGATATCTAATATCTCACTTATTGGATATTTATCTCAAATATCCAGAATCTGTTAAATAAACTTATATTATTCTCTAGGAGATTTATTTGAAAACTATTGCAGAAATGATGACCTGGTAACATTTGGAAGGTTTTGTTATGGAGTCACTGTCATTTTGACATACCCGATCGAATGCTTTGTGACTAGAGAGGTAAGCTTAATTCCTTTGCAACACTTTACTTAGATAATCTCTCTACTCCATTTATTGTAGGAAGATTTGTAAGTAATTCAATTCTGCAAATTCCCAAATGCATAACAAGTAATATAGTTTATAAAATTTTCTTTTCAACTCTAAAAAGTCAGAGTTGAAAGATAAATTTATGTTTAGATGTTTACAAGGTAGTTTTTTCACAAGTTGGAGTTGAAAGTCTTGTTTGATGGTTTAGTTTATATTAGCATAATATTTGTGTATTTATATAATTGCATATCAAAGTGAATGCCAGCCCGTAGTATAGCTAAACTAAGTTGTTGTTTTTTTTTTAAAGCATTCTTATAAAGAAATCAAGTACCAAGGTTTAAAACATGTTTTACAAAATTTTCTTTTGCCGAGGTATTTTATAAAACAATGTGTACTTAAGACACCACAGACATAGTCTAATCAGTTTTGTTATGTTTTAAAAATTAAAATATTTTATTTT